CGTGCTCTCAATTGTTGAATGGTCTTTCCGCGAAAACATGGCAAACCAGTGTCCAGCATTAAAGAAACTAACGAAACGAAAGCCTAAATCAACGCTAGGAAGACATTTCCAGAACCCGTTGGTTATCTCTCTTTACCTTGTGATATGGCCTCACTGCCAGATACGCCTGCACACAGAGTGTCGCAAACTGTCTGAACGGTGCCGCTTCCATCTTTCCGCCCATGATCGCTACCATTTCCTCACTAAGTTTGAAATCTGGCTCAAACCCAAGATTTCCTCCAGGACTGCTCTCAAACATAAATCCAAAGTCTGCAAAGACCATCCAAATATGCTCGAAAGCTAAAAATAGAAGTGTCCTTGGCTACCGATATGAATGATGTGTCCATCCAAATCAATCATGATATTTCCATTATGTCTGTCCTTGATTTGCAAAAGGAAGCTGAACACAGAGTAACCAGCCATGCTGCGCACGAAATTTCTTCTCGCTTCCTAAATCAAAATTCTCAGTTTAACCAAAACCCGCCACACAAAATCATGGAAAATCACTTGGAAAGATTCGCTGCTTTCATCTCCGTAAGTGGTCTTGAAATATTCGTACAACCCTGAAATTGCGAAACGTTAGGTTAAGTACCGTTACTTGCATTTAAACCGTCAGTACAAAGCTTTTCTCCAGTTTCATACAACTTTAAAAGTGAATTCACTTGTTTTTTGGCTTAGTCGAGATTAATAACATCGAGTTCACTCAATATTTTAGTTTAGTCGAGATCGATAACTTGCCAAAGTCTGTTTGTCTACCCAACTGGTCGCGACTTTTTGAATTTGGAACGCATTCGATAACACCACATCCTGGTGAAGTAGCAACCACTCTGAAAAAGGATTTAGCCACAATTTCGGTAATTGTTCAGGAGATTCAAAGTAAAGTTTTGCAACCAAAAAATGTGCACAGGATTACCTATAGGGAAACACGCAGACGGGTAGTCCAACTCCAGCCCATACGTTCTTCATCAGTTGCATTAACTGAAGTGCTAACATATCTTGTCGCACGTCGTCACCAACCTGAAGCATTTTATGGTGAAGACGATTTGAAATAATTAAATGCTACTAGCCGACTACCAACTTTAAATATGGCAGCTTGCCAGCAAATTTTAGAACCATTAGCTTTTCTAAGCTCATTCAAATCAGCCTCAGGGGGCGGAGCTTTGCCTTTTTCTCGTGACTGAGCCTGGAAAGAGAAAAACCATTGAAAAATTGCTCGTAAGAAACATTGATACAGGAAAAAAGAGAGAACTTTCACTACCTCGAGGCCTATTCTTTCTAGCTCCTCAACACCACATTGTTTCACTTTGAACCTAGCCAGAAACGGAGCTTTCGCTGCGCTGAAATTA